ACAGTTATCCTGTTATAAATTTAAATATTATATATATATATACACACACACATACACACACACACACACACACACACACACACACACACACTGTGTGCAGAATTATTAGGTAAATACTATTTCCAAACATATTTTTTAGCAATAGTTGGGCAGACTTGTAAAAATAAATTCTGAAATTTTCTTTTGCTCCAAGTAAATATATTTAGAGAGAAAATGTTACATTAGACTTTAACAAAGATAAAAGAAAAGCTCTTGATTTTCAGTGTGCAGAAATATTAGGCAATCAGAAACTAAGTGGATTTTCTCACTTCACCATCAACAGAAATAATAAAATTGTCTTATTCAGTCTATATAAGGAATAACAAACTTCACCAAGTTTATTATCCTGTATAGCCACCTTTCTCCTGAATGACCATAATGAGCCTGTTCGCCATTGAACCAGTCAAGTTTTTGCTTTGATCCCGTCCTGAATTAGCTACGTCAGCTAGGATCGCCTCCTAGATGCTGCTCTGAGAAGTATACTGCTTATCATCTTGGTAAATCTCATACTTTAGTCAGGCCCTGTAGCTCTCAGTTGGCATTATGTCAGGTGATGATGGAGGCCTGGTCATAATTCAATCAACTTTCTTGGTCAATCTATAGAATACTTTGATGCATAGGAAGGGACACTGTCCTGCATGCATATCATGGAGAGGGGCACCGTCCGGCAAGAATATCATGGGGTGGGGCACAATCCTGCATGCACATCATATCCTTTTTGAAAGCTGCTATCTTCTTCCTGTACCAGTGTTTGAAGAAGGTATAGTGTAGAAATTGGCATTAGATCTTACCATCTGAAAGTCTGAAAGATCCAACAAGTTCATCACTGATAACTGCAGCACACACCATCACTCCTCCACCACCCTGTTGCTGCTTGAAGAAGGTGACCATCCATCTGCTCCATCAAGAGTCACTCTCATCTCATCTGTTCACAAAACCTTTATAAAATCACTCGTGAGATGTGTCTGTGCGCATTCTTGTCATTTTAGCTTGCATGCCTTACTGAGTGGAGGTTGTGTTTCAGCCTTTGTGACCCTAGCGATGTCATGTATCACACTGCACATAGTGCTTCCAGAGATTCCATTCAGATTGCAGTTTTTTAAAATGGCGGCATTCAATTCTAAAGAGTTTCTATAAGTCTCCCCTTTAATTTGATATATAGTTTTGGCAGTTAATTTGTGTCTTCTTCTCGCTACATGCTTCTTCCTTCCTCTTTTTCTGTTGGCCACAAAACACTCGATTGTACAGTAGTCATGTTTTAAAGGGTTAGCAATTTTGATTGTTTTGCATCCCTCTGACTGGCACTTTACAATTTTGTGTTTTTCTGCTCTCTGCAAGGTCCTTTTTTGGCCCATTTTAATAGTCATAAAAATTTGCCTAATAATTCTGCACAGGAAAGTATCTATGTTTCCTGTTTTTCTCCAAACAGAAAGTACTCAGACAAAATACTGAACATGTACTGCCTTTTAGACAGTTCATTCTTAATTACAGATTCATCTGGACTGA